AGGAGGAGGAGGAGGAGGAGAGGAGGAGGAGGAGGAGCAGGAGGAGGAGGAGGAGGAGCAGGAGGAGGAGGAGGAGGCGGAGGAGGAGGAGGAGGAGGAAGAGGAGGAGGAGGATTAATAATAAGAAGAAGCGTAATAATAATACGAAGAAGAAGACGACGAATATTAATACGAATAATAAGAAGAAGGCTCATAATAAGCATATTAATACGAATCATAATAATAAGAATAAAAAGACGGCGAAGACGAATACATATAAGACTAAGAAGCAGAATACTAACACTAATAATACTAATACGAGGAAGAATACTAATAATAACACGTAGAAGTATATTTATAATAAGAAGAACAATATTAATAATACTAATAATAAGACGAATACGAGTACTATTAGTAATATTAATATTAATACTAATAATACGTATTATTTTAAAAAATACTAATACTAATAATACTAAGAAGAATAAGAGTACTAACACGACTAATACTAATACGAAGACGAAGGCGAATAAGACGAATACTACTACTACTAATAATAATAATACTACTACTAAGAATACTAAGAATACGACTACGAAGACTAATACTAATAGTAATACGAACAATAATAATACTACTAATAACAATAATACTAACAACACTGATAATAATACTAGTAATAATGATACGACTAATAATAATATTAATAATAATAATACCACTACACATAATCATAATAATAATAATAATAACAATAATAACAATAATAGTAATACTAGTAATAATAATCATAATGACAATAATCTAATTATAATAAACATAATAATACTATTAATATTAATAATGATACTACTGGTAATACTGATAATAATCACATTAATAATAATAAGAAGAATAATAACAATTAGAACAATAAGAAGAAGCATCATAATAAGAATAATAATTTGAGGAGGAGGAGGAAGAGGAGGAGGAGGAGGCGGCGGAGGAGGAGGAGGATGAGGAGGAGAAGCAGGAGGAGGAGCAGGAGGGAGGAGGGAGGAGGGGAGGAGGAGGAGGGAGGAGGGAGGAGGAGGAGGAGGAGGAGGAGGAGGAGGAGGAGGAGGAGGAAGGAGGCGGAGTGGGAGGAGGCGGAGGAGGAGGAGGAAGAGGAGGAGGAGGAGGAGGAGGAGGAGGAGGACTGAGGCGGAGGAGGAGGAGGAGGAGGCGGAGCAGGAGGAGGAGGAGGGAGGAGGGAGGAGGAGGCGGAGGAGGAGGAGGAGGAGGAGGAGGAGGAGGAACAGGATGAACAGGAGGAGGAGGAGGAGGAGGAGTAGCAGGGAGCCATGTATCGGCATCACGATCTGCCAGGCAAGTGGTTTCCTATGAATGCAGCGGCTGATACATGTGCTACGTGAGGAGCCGTGGGACACCGCTCTGTAGCCCGTGCAGAGCATTTCTTACGTAGGAAGTAGTATGTGAGCATGTGGACAGACGGTTCGTGGGATTGCTAGGAGTCGTCTTGAGGGAGCCTAGCGAGCCTGTATTCCTTGATGTAGGTAGCATGCCTACGATGAGTATGTATACGTCTGTCATTTCCGGTGGGCCCGAACCATTGCTCACACTCGTATTAGATAAGTCGGATCATGAACACCTCATTCACCTTGAACGCGAGGTGTGGGGGTGTAGGGACGGAACAAGCGAAGTGTGGTCGTCCAGAGCCCGTGCCCAAGCAAGCCCCGTGTCTTGGCCAGGGTGCATGAATCCCACAGGATGTGGGGTACCAATCGTGAGCTGTTCGTTTTCACGGCCTGCGGCAGCCACGCGCGGCGACGGGTCAAGGACCTGGCAGCGCGATGCAATCGAGGGCCATCCAGAGCGACGGCACGTGCACGGACGTTATTACGCAATGGAGTGGACCAAACCAGCAAGAGTGAGGTTGAAGTGCAATTCCCCGTCCACCGATTTCCTATTCAGCGTGCGTGTCTTGCGTTGCGGGACCCGCGCCAAGAGGCTCCAGAGGTCCAGAGGAGAAGGACACGCAAGGAGAAGAAGGAGGAGGAGGAAGAGGAGGAGGAGGTAGAAGAGGAGAAGGAGGAGGAATAGGAGGAAGAAGAGGAAGAGGAAGAGGAGGAGGAAGAGGAGGGGGAGGATGAGAATGATGATGGTGATGATGATGATGATGCTGATGATGATGATGATGTTGATGATGATGATGAGTATGATGATGATGATGATGCTGATGATGCTGATGATGATGAGGCTGATGATGCTGATGATGATGATGATGATGAGAAGGAGGAGGAGAGGCAGGAGGAGGAGGAGGAGAAGTTGGAGGAGGAGGAGGATGGGAAGGACGAGGATGAGAAAGAGGAGGAGGAGGATGAGGAGAAGAGGAGGAGCAATCGGAGAAAGAGGAGGAGTGAGGCTGGCTCGGGAGAGCCCCCCTTCCCGGGCTGCTTCCGCCCGCACCCGAGGCGCGCGGCGCGCCCACCGCGCTCCCACGGCGAGAATCCTGGTGGAGCACGCCCCGCACGCGGACCAGGAGCCATTGCTGCTGCTCCTCCTCCTCCTCCTCCCCCCTACTCCTTCTTTTTCGTCTCCTCCTCCCCCCGTCTTCGCCGTGCTTCTTCTTCTTCTTCTCCTCCTCCTCCTCCTCCTCCTCCTCTTCTTTTTTTTCAGGTTAGACCAACCTAAGCGTGAAGCTGTGGCGTTTTTGACTGGAAAAAAGCGTGTACACGATTCAGTTCATAATGTACCTGGCGGACGCCGCGGAAAAAGCTGGAACATGAGGCAGAGACAAGTGTAGCAAAAGGAGTAGGCGCCCGCCAGGTATTTGAGGTCGGCACAGACCTTAGTAAGATACTCCCCCCGCCCCCACATCCAAGGGTAAATGTAGACCCCATCAGATTCAGTGGTCAGTGCCGCCTATGTCAAAGGTAAAGTGCAGGTGAAGGCTGGCAGTGTGCCAGAAACTTGACACTATAGATGGCGAGTGCAAGCATGGTGGCAATTCCCAGGCTGCTACCCAGGGTTTTTGGTTTTACCCCTAACCACCTGGACCTGGACCTGGGGCCGCGTGCTTTTTGTTTTTTTTTTCGGGTTTCGCACGAACCCTTCGCGACTGCTAGCTGTAGGCTGGCACTGTGGGCTAGCCTGAAGGCTGGCCCTGCAGGTTGGCACTGTATGATGGCCCTGTGGGCCGAGAAGATACTGCTCGTGGGTACTCCTCCTCCACCCCATCCCCTCTCCGGAACACCCAACCTCATCCCCCCCACAAGCTACTGGTGAGGAGAGCACGATCGGTGATGCAGCGACACGAAGCAAACATCGGATACTGGGACAGCGGGAGCGCCCTGCCCAGGAGAGCGACCCGGGAGAAGGCGAGGGGAGCAGGCGCGGTGCCAAGCCGGAGCCACGGCGAGGCGCGTGCGCCTGGTAGCCGCACGCGGGAGCCGGGCCCCACGTGCCCCCCCACGCCACCGGCAGGGAACAGCACCTGAGGGGGGATCGGGGGCGGAAAAGAGGGGGGTGATGACTAGGGGGGGGTGGATATCATGGCGTGGGCCATGATATTTCCCCAGATTTCATGGCGCCTCTTCTTATTTCATTACGTCCCTGGCCCCCCCGTTGGGCCGCGCACATGCCGTCGGTCATGATTTGCACCCCCCCCTCTTGGACACCCCCCTCTTGGCCGCTCCCGAGGGGAGGAGAGGCCGATGGCCCAGCGGAGCGGGGAAGGCGAGAGGAGCGAGGGGGGACGAACGACGGCAGGAAGCGGCCAGGACAGGGCAAGTGATGGGTAGGCCATGGTGAAAAGAGAAGCAGCGCCACCGCGTTGTATGACATGGAGGTCGTGAAAGCAGGACATACGCGACACAGACGTAATGCGCTCCTCCATGTTAGCTCCGCCTTACACTGAAAACGTGAGATCGCTGTCAGTGGGAGGTTAAGGCTGGCCCTATGGGCTGACCTGTAGCGGCGTAAACACTGGCTCACGCCGTGGGCAGTACCTGACTCCACCTGCGTGGCGGGTCCTCTGTGAGGGTCTGAAGCTCCTTCTCCTCTTCTCCTCCACTCTCCTGCTCCTCTCCATACTGAGGTCCCTCGCCGATGGAAGTGCAGGGGCCTATGTAGCGATGCCCCTTGGCCCAAGCCATGGGCAGTACCTGACTCCGCTGGCGTGGTGGGCCCTCAATGAGGGACTGAAGTTCCCCCTCCTCCTCCATGTCCTCGTCGATCCTCCAGACCCCACCAAGAGAGATGCCGACTCCCTGGTTGATCTTCGTTGCACCACGTGCCAGAACAATGGAGGCGGAGCGGACGCAAGACAGGGCCCCCCGGCGAGGGCAGTGCAATACGCAGATGAAACATTCCTCTTATGTATCCTCCATAGTCAGTTCTCTCGCCGATGGAAGTGCAGGGGCCTATGTAGCGATGCCCCTGGGCCCACGCCGTGGGCAGTACCTGACCCCACCTGCGTGGTGGGCCCTCAATGAGGGACTGAAGCTCCTCCTCCTCCTCGTCCTCCTTCCACTCACGTTCCCACCACCACACCCGACAAAAGAGATTCCAACTCCCTAGTCGATCCTGGCTGCGTAACGTACCAGAAGAATGGAGGCGGAGCTCGCGCTAGACAGGCCCCCGGGGAGGGCAGCAATGCGCACGTGAACCTGTGAGATTACTGGCTGAAGTCTGACATCGCTTATCCTACAACAGTGAGAAATGATCAGGATACGTCAAAGGAAGCGGAGAGAAGATGCAAGAGGAGGGCAGCTGACAGGGCAAGTGATGGGTATGCCGTGGTGAAGAGATAACCGGCACCTCTCAAGTTGTATCAAGGAGGAGGTCAAGGACACATACTGAATTTCTAATATAAATCCGACTCGTCCGCACATGAATCCTGAATGTGCTGCTGAACAGGCATCCCGTTCGCAAACAGAATAGACATGAGCGTATCGTAGACGCGCCCAATCGAATGGCAAGACATCTATGTAGCCATACCCAGCGGCAGCCGTGAAGAATGCGTCACGGACAGCGGAAGGAATCTGGCCGTGCGTGGCATCATGCTCGACTCCGTTTGTACATGTACTTTCCAACATCTGGGCGAATTCACAAAGTGCAAGACTGTCGCGAACGAATCCAATGAGCTCGTCGCTCGTCGTGTACATCGTCGGCAGGATCGGGATATTGACGTTGTGCCTTGCGCTGTCACCAGGTGTGCAATTCCGTTCTGAACACGACTGTCAATCCTCATGGTCATCGTGGTGCACGACTTCGGCGTTGTGGGTTTCCGAAGATGTCGACGACAGCGCCTCGGGGCCTCAGCCTTCCCTGGAAACGACCTGAAATCCAGGTCGGATGTTACCGTATTGTTTGGTTGTACGACTGTGGCGTTGTGGGTTTCCGAAGATGTCGACGACAGCGCCTCGGGGCCTCAGCCTTCCCTGGAAACGACAGGAGATGCCGAATCGTATGTTACCATGCTGGTTGCTTGTTGTACGACTTCGGCTTTGCGGGTTTCTGGGGATGTAGGAGACAGCGCCTCGGGGCCTCCATCTTCCCGTGCATACTCAGTCGTTCCCGATGGCCCTGGGCGTTCAGCTGCCAACTGAAATATCAACAGTGTCACCAATTCGCGGGATGTAGAATGGCGGAGGCGGAGGAAACCTCGTAGAGATCGGTAGCCGCAGTGGTAGAGGAAACTGCAAACAACCAGATGCGGGCACGTGGGGCACACATGCTGGCGCGTACTTACTAAGGCATGGGGAATGCTCAACCGTGTTGGTACACATAACACGCTCGTCCGTATCTCCACAGTTCGCATTGAGATCAACATTATGTTTGGAAGGCTGGGTCACGTCTTTGAGGGCAACATGTCTGCGTTGAGTGCGAGTTGCAGGCCCAATTCGACTGAATGCTTTTCTCATTTCGTTGCTATGTGCGCTCCTGCATGTTTCAGTATCGGAGATGCCAGTCGGAGAGTGAATGCCATGGGAAACAGGAGAGATAACTGTGGATAGGGGGGGCACCAATACTAAGCATGTGAGACAGCCATCAGCAGCGGCCTCTGACATGTATTTCCAGATGTGTCTCGACCGCGGGCGTCTGATGCCCACCTGAAGGCTGGTCGCCGTGCTTGGCAGCAACACGCGCCTGAATCGCTCGGACGGGCCGCGGTTTCCTCCTCCTCTTCCTCCTCCTCATCCCCCCGTCCTCCTTCCTTTTCGCCTCCTCCCCCCCTCCTCGCCGTTCTTCTTCTTCTTCTTCTTCTTCTTATTATTCTTATTCTTACTGTTATTATTATTATTAGTATTATTATTAGTAGTATTATTAGTATTGTTATTAGTATTAGTATGATTATTATTATTATTATCCTTCTTCTTCTTCTTCTTATTCTTATTTTTATGTTTCTTCTTATTCTTCTCCTCCTTCTCCTCCTCCTCCTCCCCCTCCTCCTCCGCCTCCTCCTCCCCTTCCTCCTCCTCCTCCTCCTCCTCCTCTTCTTTCTCCTCCTCCTCCTCCTCCTCCTCCTCCCCCTCCTTCCGTTTCCTCCTCCCTCTCCCCCGTTTTGCCCCCCCCCCCCCCCCCTCCTCCTCCTCTCCTCCTCCTCCTCCTCCTTCCTCCTCTCCTCCTATTCTCCTCTCTTCCCTCCCCTCCTCCTCCTCCTCCTCCTCCTCCTCCTCCTCCTCCTCTTCCGCCGCCCATGGGGGGGATGAATGGGGGGGGGGTCTCCCGACGGGCGCGGAGGCCGACGCGCCGCCCCCCCCCCGCCCAACCCCCGCGCCGATCCTCTCGGGCCGCGCAGGGCTCTGCCCGCCCTGCACCCCTCCGCTCGGGCCGCTCGGGCGCGCGGCCCGGGCAGATCGGGGCAGGGGAGGGGTCCTCTTCGAACGCGCGGCCCGAACGGAATTTAGGACAGGTGGGGGAGGATCGAGGAGGAGGAGGAGGAGGAGGTGGAGGAGGAGGAGGAGGAGGAGGAGGAGGAGGAGGAGGAGGAGGAGGAGGAGGAGGTGGGATGAGGTCGGGGGAAGAGGCCGGGGCGCCCTCGCCCCAGGCCTGCCTGACGACAGCCAGCGCGCTGCAGCGGGGAACGGTGCGCTGGGAAGGAGGGGGCAAGTTCTTCAAGTCTGGCCATGGCGAGCCTCGCTCGGGCCACGCATTGTGGTAGCTATGCCCGCATGGCGAGCTGGTGGACCAGCCCTGTCGATGTGTGAGCGTCAGATGCGGTGATGGCAGGTGTGATTTGAACGCCACACTGCTGCGTTCGTTGTTTGATAGTCGAAGTGCTTCGCGCAACCCCACTAGGCCATCTAGAAACGACGCCCAGGCGAGGTGCCTTAATCAGGGAAATGGAAAAGCACGCAGTATAATAAAGGGCTGCGTAAGACGTCGTGCCCTAAGAGGGAGATGATAGAGGAGGAATCGGGGGAGCAGGAGGAGGAGGAGGGATAGGGGGAGGGGGAGCAGGGAGGAGGAAGGAGGAGGAATAGGCAGATGCTGCTGATGATAATGATGATGCTGATGATGATGCTTGTGATGATG